CTACAATATGAAAAAACTCATAATATAATGGCATTATAGAGGTTCTGAATTTAATATCTATATAGGTCATTTTGCCCAATTAGGCAGTAAAAGAAACAAACCCAAGAAGAGGTCTGTGATGTCATTTACAAAAACCTCAACGTTATAATACAATAATTTTTGCGATCTAATATTTATAAACTACAATAAGTTCTTCTGTATGACTGTTGTTTTAGGAATCGTTATCACAGCACTCGGGACACCCCTATAAGCGCTCCGTCCCCCTCTTCAGCAGCAAGCAAAGAGTTGAAATTCTTATGGTACCAGTAACTATCTGATTGTATATTCCGCTCACCTTTCACTCCAAGTGTGGAGCGTCGGCCAGATCCCACTTAACTCCTTGCAGTACCTTTGAAGTGATACTTGCCACTCTGCATGGAGCATGCCTGTCTCCATCTTTCTCAACATGCTCTGTGAGTCAGTAACAATGACAGCATGTGTGTACAGCTGATTCTCAAGCAATCCAAAGGCAGCAGTGACTGCCTCCACCTCCATTCCCAAACTAGACATTGTGATATGGTAGCTTTGTTGAAGCACCAAGTGACGTCCATTTGCCTTCACTATGAACCCCCATATACTTTTTCTGCCCCTAAACACAGAGACATCTGTATATACAATCACATCACCTGGGCAAGAATTTTCATGAATCATTTGTTGAACTTCTGATTCTGCAGCACCAGCTGGCCAGTTCCTGCACTCACGTCCCAAAGTGATAAGAACCCTACACATGACTGAAACCTGATAGGATACTTTGACCTACTCCTCTCCTCACCTAAATTCATCAAGCCTGCACACATGTCCAACTGTAACTATAATAATCATACTGGATATAATAGTCAGTATGACTTTTAACAAATATGAGGTCCACGGCAAACTGAACATAAGAGGGGTCTCCAGGTCTTAGATATATAAGAAACCATGCAATGGGGAATAAGTGGCTAAGAAATGGTGATTATCTTGATACACAATTAGCTACAGAGGCTTTGCACTGTGCTGAGCCTTTTCAAACTCAGATTTGAGTTAGAGGAAAGAACGAAACACTTATGGTTACTACCCCTGTGCCATGATGTTGATTCATTGCTGAAACCTCAAACCTTCTTAACTACTTTCAACTCTTCTTCTGCCAGTCTAAGCCCAAATGGAGCACAGGCCCTCAACCAACTCACATCAAGTCATTCTATCCTTTGCTACCGCATGTAGCTTTCCTCAAGACCTTTTGGCTTTCTCTACACCTTGTCACACTACTTCTACTAGAATAGATTCCCCTCATCTTAGTTGGCTGGGTATTTCTTGAATCTCTTTTCCATGGTCAGGTGGTTCTTGTGGCAAATGTGCTTTACAGGATGAGGTAGCTAACCTCAAGCCCAACCCCACCCTTAGTCACCTATTACGACATGCCTTGTAGGGTTCAGTGCTTCTATTCTTTGCCTTCCGTGAGGGCCCTATTTTCAACTATTATATATTATAAATTATAGCATTTATTGTAAATGAAGACCACAGCAAAATACCTATTTTTATATGGCAGATACTGATCAATCATGTACTGCTGGTGGTTGATAGGGTCCCCAAAGGACGCTTTACTCTCAATCCAGTTGACAACTCTCTTGTTAATCACTGGAAATACAATTAATCAATATTCATTGTTACTGTTCAGAAAGTCTAAAGCTTTGTTAGTATATGTGCAGAAAGAATTCTGTAAACAGAAAACAGTTCAGAGGAGCAGATGGATCACCAGTCTGGTGAGATTGATGCAGCGGGGAGAGACGAGGGGTTCCTGCTGATGCTCAAGGCTCAGAGGAAAGACAAGACGGACATTTAATCAGAATGCTACTGGCACCATTAGTATCAGAACATTGCACTGGCTGCTGAAGATGGGAACTGGGTGCTTATGGGTGCTTGAATCAACTCGACATCAACAGAAAGAACTAAAACGTTCGTGAGTTCACTGCTGCTACACATATCACTGTCCCCATTTGTTTCTGTAATGGGCCTTCTCTTTCCAGTTGATGATTATGTCTGTAAGTCTGTCTGCAATCACAACCTTCTTGGTCTGTCTCACGGTCTACTTATATTCAAAATTGATCTATGCCCAACATCAGGGCTATTCAACTGGTGGCCCGCGGAGTCCTAGCAATTGACCTACAGATCATTGCCAATTTTATTATATTAATGATCATTCTACGCTGGGACTTAAGCTTTTAGCCTGTGACAATCCCCGTTTTCCAACATTTTGGCCGCTGAGTAAACATAGTTGAATAGCGCTGCCCTACATCATCTAGGGAGGCATATAGAGAAAACTGCAGAGAGTAGTATTACCACAAAATCTATTATCATCACAATCAAATGTCTTGCTGACATTCAAGAGCAAACAGGTGTGCGACAGGGATTCTTTTGTCGCATATCTTAGTTTTACTGGCTATAGACTGGATTATGAAAACAGTAACTGCTGACACCAAGAATGGAATTCAATGGACCCCTACAAAACAGCGTGATGATCTGGACTTCGCTGATAATATTTCTCTTCTGTCCCATTCATGGAATGAGATGCAAGATAAATTAAATATACTTGATGCGAGATCACAGCAGCTTGGTCTGAAAATCCATAAAGGAAAGACGAAGATAAGGAGAATAAATCAGGCACATAGTAATGTGGTTTCTTTTAATGGCACCCCACTCCAAGATGTGGAGTCGTACACCTATTTGGGCAGTAATGTAGATAAAGATGGAGGAACTGATAGAGATATTAAAATAAGAATACAAAAGGCAACTGAGTTGGTTGAGGGCCTATGCTCCATTGGGGTATAGAAAGGGAGAAGAAGAAGAAGAAACATAGTTGAATAGCTCTGCCCTACATCATCTGGGGGCATATAGAGAAAACAGAAGAGAGTAGTATTACTACAAAATCTATCATCGTCATAATCAAATGTCTTGCTGACTGGCAAGGGCAATCAAACATCTGCTGATGTTTTTCAATTATATGACAAAAGACTGTCAAGAATCTTCTCATGCAAACTTTCTCTGCCTCTCTTTCCATAAATAATTCTCTACCGTTTCTCCACTCCTTTCTTGTTGTATGATTACTCCCCGTACTAGGCAATTATATGTTCAGTAGTTTGCCCCTGCACCCTCAACAGCCGGTACTCTAAAACACTGTCAACATCAATGCTGTCAAACTGCCTGCAGCTGAAATTGAACTTGGTATCTCGGAATTACGAAGTGCCTGAGCCAAACAATCAACTTAACTCACAATTTTGAAAATTGTTTGGTTCTAGTTTTTCCCCAGGTGGGTTACATCCAGAGCTGCACCGATTCAAAAATGTTCTGTAAAATAATAATGTATACGTTCTGTAGTGAACATATATTTGATGGCAAATTATGGTATGTTCATACTTACTAATTGGAACTTTAAGTCTAATGTCTGGGGTCTTGTCATAACCTTCTTCTCTCATCTGGCTTTCATCTAAAGAATAAAAAGAATTATTGGTTTTACTCTAACTGAATGTATTTTTTTTTAAGATGGCGGTGGCGCCTTGTACTGTGGTTTAAAGTAGGGCTGTACCGAATAGTGATTTTCACTATTCGGCCAAATACAAATAGTGGGACCAACTATTCGGCCAATTCGAATAGTGTATCATCATCATCAGGTGCCTTGCCGACTGGTGTGGGCGATCATGCCTCTCCACAATCTGCTATCTCCTGCAGCATGTATCAGTTCGTGTGCTGACACAACTCCATGCCATGCAACAAGACTGTCAAGAATCTTTTATCGTTGTCTTCCTCTATCCCTCCTTTCCAGTGGTCACCAAATGTTCCATTTTCCCCCGTCTCATAAGATGGCTGAAAAATGACGACTGTCTCCTTCTGATGTCTGTGATTAGTTGTCTTTGGGCTCCTGCCTCTTTCAAAACCATCGTTCGCTCGGCCGTTCGTTCGATGTAATTTAAATGCACCTTTATATTCTCGTTAGTAATATCTTCAAATTTGATTTGGGCGAAGACACCCTGAAAGAATGAAAAATGCAGGATCTCTCTCTCTCACACACACAGACACACACTCACTGCGGTTAGCATTTTATGCAGTTTGTACCACGCAACCGTGTTGCAGTTTCCCTCGCTACGACAGACTTAGGCAACAGAAATTATTGTGTTAATGAGAGAGTTATTTCAGTCCATCACAGTGTATGCAGAAACGGGAGTAAGGTAACCACTATTCGTATTCGGACCGGCCACAACTATTCGGCCGAATACCAAATAGTTATTAGGTCCACTATTCGGCCTCAAAGCTAATACGAAGCGAATATTCGGTACAGCCCTAGTTTAAAGCAACGCTACGATACCTGGGCCCGAAACAACATATTTCAGCTGTGGTTTAAAGCAATGCTACGATACCTGGGCCTGACACAACATATTTCAGCTGTGGTTTAAAGCAACGCTACGATACCTGGGCCCGACACAACATATTTCAGCTGTGGTTTAAAGCAACGCTACGATACCTGGGCCCGACACAACATATTTCAGCTGTGGTTTAAAGCAACGCTACGATACCTGGGCCCGACACAACATATTTCAGCTGTGGTTTAAAGCAACGCTACGATACCTGGGCCTGACACAACATATTTCAGCTGTGGTTTAAAGCAATGCTACACCAAGATCAAAATATTTAAAACATTGATAAGACCAGTCATTTTATATGGCTCTGAAACTTGAAGCAGAAATAAAAGAGATGAGGCCTTATTACAAGTTTTCGAAAAGAGTCTTATGACAAACCTTTGGACCCATCAAAGAGGCTAACAGCGGGGAATGGAGAGTGAGAAGCAACAATGTAACACATAATCTGTTTAAATTACCATTGATCACTTGCATCATGAGAGCTAACAGACTAAAATTGTTATGGCATTTTGAAAGAATGTCAGATGACAGAGAAGTAAAACTGTATACACCTGAGAGAGGAATGGGCGTAGACCACGAGGCAGACAAAAAAGAAGTTCGAGAGATAATGTCCAGTCAGACCTGCAAACAACTGGTGTCACAAATTGTGAAGATAAGGCCAGCCAGAGAGATTAATTGAGACGAGTGATATCTGCAGTAATAAACCTCAAAGGCTCGGAATGCTAATGAAGAAGATGACTATTTTGTGCTACTTTATGTGAAGTAAAAGTTCAGCGTACATTTGACATTATGAATTTTTTTAAAGGTATATTTTATACACTATACGTATTCAGCCAAATAGTTGGTCACGCTATTCGTGAAAATCACTATTCGGTACAGCCCTAGTTTAAAGTAATACTACTATACCTGGGCCCGACACAACATATTTCAGCTGTGGTTTAAAGCAATGCTACTATACCTGGGCCCGACACAACATATTTCTGCTGTGGTTTAAAGCAATGCTACTATACCTGGGCCCGACACAACATATTTCTGCTGTGGTTTAAAGCAATGCTACTATACCTAGGCCCGACACAACATATTTCTGCTGTGGTTTAAAGCAATGCTACTATACCTAGGCCCGACACAACATATTTCTGCTGTGGTTTAAAGCAATGCTACTATACCTGGGCCCGACACAACATATTTCTGCTGTGGTTTAAAGCAATGCTACTATACCTGGGCCCGACACAACCTATTTCAGCTGTAGTTTAAAGCAATGCTACTATACCTGGGCCATCACAACATATTTCAGTTGTGGTTTAAAGCAATGCTACGATACCTGGGCCCGACACAACATATTTCAGCTGTAGTTTAAAGCAATGCTACTATACCTGGGCCCGACACAACATATTTCAGCTGTAGTTTAAAGCAATGCTACTATACCTGGGCCCGACACAACATATTTCAGCTGTAGTTTAAAGCAATGCTACTATACCTGGGCCCGACACAACATATTTCAGATGTGGTTTAAAGCAATGCTACTATACCTAGGCCCGACACAACATATTTCTGCTGTGGTTTAAAGCAACGCTACTATACCTAGGCCCGACACAACATATTTCAGCTGTGGTTTAAAGCAACGCTACTATACCTAGGCCCGACACAACATATTTCAGCTGTGGTTTAAAGCAATGCTACTATACCTGGGCAAATGAAGAAAGTAAACTTACCTATAAAAGACAATCCAGCCTCTCGACATTTGGCTTTAAGAATGACCTCATATTCAACACCACAGCTTCTGTGAAAATAATTATAAAACAGATAAGTAGGGTTAAAACATTCCAGTCTCAGATAATAATATTCACAAAGGGGTCTTACCCTCTTCCAGCTGAAAACAATGTTTAGGACTGTAAATGCAGAATAATATTCTTCAGTATAAGAATCAGCATGTATATATATACACACACACAAATTCAGCGGCACCACAGGATAATAACTCCAGGAGTCATTAGGCAAGTCCACCCCCCCCCCCCCCCCCAGGGCAACAGAGAGGCAAGGGGTCAAAACATTTGAAGGAAGGGGGGGGGGGGGGGGGGAATATCTGAAAATTTGAAGTCTCTGTTCATGTTTGTTTCTCTCAAAAGTTCTTAATACATGTGAAGGGATAGATGCAGGTACACATGCAAGAAAAAAGTAAGTAAATGGCAAGTTTCAAGACTCTGAGGTCCCTGTTATGGGCCCCTGACCCCAATTGTGGTGGTGGTGGGGGGGGGGGGGAAGAGACCCACTGCCCCCTAACAAACATGTCAAAAAAGGTGATTAATTAGGGGTTTGCTGAAATTTTACGTTCTGGGCAGAAAGGCACAGATATCGCAGTCTTGCTGTAAACCACAACACAACGTACCAACTGCCCTTTCAAAGTCCAACAGAAAAAAAAACACACACTGAGGCATAGGAGGCTCATGGTTACAGTAAGCTGCATATCCTTTACAAGACATTGCAGAACCAACCCCTTTGAAATCAATGCAAGACGGTCTGCTACCAAATCATCTGCAGCTAGAATCAAACCAGGCCGACTGATAGCCCCATATTTGTACAGACCAGTCACTATTTATTAGGTTGTATTAGTAGTAATTTTTCAAAAATATCCTGTTCAACCCTCAGGGTTAAAAATTTGGATACATAGTGTTAATTGAGTTCTCAAAGTATATATTTGTTATTTTCAATTTATATATCATTTAATTATTTTTTTAACAAAAATGTAATTTGTACTGTTTTACATTTTGCATTGATCTGGGTTGTGATTCTGATAGAAACTGTACTATGAATAATTAGACAATCTTACTAACATGCATACACATGTCATTTTAACAGACTCTGAAGGCATGCTGGGAAAGGTGAAAACAGGGATGCTTTGAGCAGACTGGCAAGCTTCACTGGGAAGGTCATGGGTAGTGAGCACACTTTGGATCTTTTCTCCAGGCATATAACCAGATTGTGACCGGTACCTCAAGTACTGGAACTCTGCGCTGGCTGCTGAAGATGAGGAAGGAGCACACACTGAAATGCCCTGAGTGCTGTGATGTCAATTCTTGACTCAACTCAACTAACATTGTGTCATGAGTATGGTGGATATATTGTCTCCTTAGTGTGCAATCATTGATTACTCTCCTCCATGTTATCTTTAGGAGAAACTTCTGCAAAGATGCTATGTGCATTCTTTACCCTTCCATTTATGGATTTTAGTCCTAGTAATAAATTGCTTGACCTTACCACGCAGCTCTATGGGACTGTTTATATGCAGCAAGTTTTCCATCGTCATAGGTAATTTACAAAGATTCATGTAGTCAGTTTCCTTTGGTTTTCATATTTCCTAACTCCAGTAAATAGTGCTCTATAGTACTGTATTTGTGGCATTCATTACAGGTCTCTTCCTGTATAGTAAATCAAGACCATCCAAGCTGTAGTCTAAGCAATTTACGATTGAATGGTATTTTAAGTTCATCTGTTATCTGATTTTGTTTTTTAGGAGTATTTAACAACTTCTATGAATGTCTACCCTTTAGGCTGTGGTCCCAATTCAAGGACTAATCCTCTAATATACATTTTTTAAATCAGTGATTTGATGTCTCCTGTGCTAGTACTTAGATTTACAATGGTTTGATTAGATCTACTTTTTTTTGCCTCCCTATCTGCGATTTCAATACCATGTATTCCCACAAGAGCAGGTATCCACACAACCAGCACTGAGCATCCTCCTGTGTTTAAATATGTGGTATGCAGTGATATCTCTTCTATTAAGCCTGGTCTGCTTCACATTTATGAATGTCTTGAGGTTTTGAACAACAGATCAACATCATGGCACACGGGTGTAACCTATAAGAGCCCCATTCTTCTTCTAACTCAAGTCTGAGTCCGACAAAGTTTAGCACAGTGCACAGGCTCTGTAGCACTGGCTGTGATCCTGAAATACATTTTAATAGATTTTGAACTTCAAATTTTGCCCGGGCAGCGCCATTAGGCTACTGTTTTTGATTTCCAACTGCCAAGGGATATTTTCTGTGGGCAAAAAAACACATGGGCATCCTATCTCACTATCTAGAGACCAGGGGGAATTACTAGAAATCCAAGTTCATGTGAAAAAATCCCAGCCCTTACCGGGAATTGAACCCGGAACCTCTAGCACTCGAGGCGGACACCATGCCTCGAGACTATGCAGCCCACTAGAGATTATCGATATCTGCTGTGTTGTCTCTAGTATGAACTTCACAGTCTGTTGTATTTCACTCAGGGGTGTGTAAAGTTTGGATTTCTAATATTTTAAAACCTGAACAGTTGACATGAAGTCTGTTAAAACTGTCAGTTGTTTCGGAGTGATGTCATGTACCATATCAACAGCTTTGTTCTGTTCTTGCAATGACACTCAATGCAGGATATTGACAATGATCGAGAGAAACAAGACAGACAATTTGACCAACATCACAAACCTGCACACTGACATTTATGCATAAGAAGGCAGAATTCTGGTAACAAACACAGTAGTGACAAGAACACTTAAAACAGATCAAGCAGAATTGGCAGATCAGACATGTACATGTGGACTAGCACCTGAAACAACAGATCACATGCTCCAAGACTGTCCCAAATACAACATATCAAGGCAAAACGTTTGGCCAAGAGAAACACCAGGGCAAGCCAAACTTTACGAATTACAGAAGACAGTGAAGTTCATACTAGAGACAACATTGCAGATATAGATAATCTATTTCAAGGGAACCAAAGAAGAAGAAGATCAAGCAGACATACTTAAGACAATATCTGAATGAATGCTGATCAAAAATAATAAGTTACATGAACCATCATGTACAAGGTCAGGTGAATTTAGAGTTCAATGTGTATCTGGGAACAAAGAACATTTCTGAAGAGAGCATGATATCAAACAAATGTTTGTGTTTTCTAGACAAAGTATTAAGGTCTATTTTGTTCGCAAATTGTTGTTGTTTGTTATTCGACATATACTTTGTTAATATACATTTCTGTAACCTATTGTGCCATTTCAATGGTTTGAAATGAATTATGTCCGTAGTTGTGGATTTCAAGTTGTAAGATAGACATGGCGAATAAGATACCTTTTTTTTGGGGGGTGCCTAGTTGACCATGTTTTTAGTGCACTTGTTTCCATCGTGAGACGCACACACCATTTGGAGTTAACAGGTTCGATTACCAGCATAGTAACTATAGCTTTCAATTTTTATGTTATCTAGTGTGTTCTTCTATCTTTCTGTGAGTGCTGATCAATACATTTTCTCTTACTTTGTTCAGGTATCTATTTAATCAATATGATACCGAACCAATCAACATCTACAACTCAAAACATTTGTTGCAGGAGACTTAGCAAAGGGGTATGTTGTATGTTGCCTGATATGTTGAAAAATGAATTCTAAAATCAGTATTTAGTATAAAACATACATTTACAAGAGTGATCTTCTACTTCTACATGTATTATACAGTCATATCACATGTTACTTTTGTCTCATGGAGCCATCTTCTTCCGCAGACAACTCTAGGACATGAGCTTTTCACACCTCCAGCTATAGGGGCAACTGATGCAGACAGCAACAAATTTAAGGTTAGTGCTGCCTTCCATTTGCAAAATTGCAAATATGAATGCCTTTCCAAAACTTTCTGTAACTTTGTCTTGTAAGTATAATTTATTGTTTCTGTTTAGATGTAAAAAATGTAATAACAGTTTTTTGGGGGGAGGGGGGGAGCTCACCGGTGGTAAACTTTGGAGAAAAGTTGGCTTATTCGACTACTTCTTGACTTTAGTCTTGTTCCAGAAAAGAGTTCTGTGTGCAAATTTGTTTTTCAGAGCTGTTCATGTGTATGTGTTGGCTCTGTGGCTAAGTCGATGCGAACGCTTCGTAATGCCAGGGTGCTGGGTTCAATCCCAGGTGTGGGCCATGCGCCTTGGTTGGTTAACGGGGCCTGGAACCCACAAAAAGAAGTTTCAGAAGTGATAATACCCATGGGGGTCCCCCGTCTCATCCTGGTTTTGTGCACCCTGTAAACTTTCCTTCATGCCCCCCTTTTTTAACCATAAATACAAATTTTTAAAAAAAACCGCCCAAAATAGATAAGTATGCCCACTAAAAAACAAATTTAAGTAAATAAACCCCTTTTTACGCAAAAGTTGCTAGGTTAAAAGATGCCAATAGTCCCCCCCTTTTTTTTGACCAATCAGGATTTTAATGGGGGGAAAGGTGTTCGCATCAGGTAAATCCCTTTCCCTTTAGGTTTTTGCATTATCCCATTTTAAACTAGGTTTTTGCTTTAAGCCCAAATTTAAATTTTTAAAAAAACAAAATCTCATCTGGGTTTTTTGGGTTTGAAACCCAGACCACCGGGGGTTTGGGTTGCCGGGCCTGCCCACTACTGTATACCCAAGGGTTTTGAATCATTTTTACTAAAATTAAAAAAGATTCTAGCAAAAAAAACCCAAGGGCCCTTTACTTATTTTGAACATCAAAAGCAGGTCATAAAGTTTCCAGCATCAGTTCTGAAAAAGGGTTTATGTGAAAAACAAATATTCATTTAAATGGCAGCAGAGCACCCAAAAGGGGCCCCATTTTTGTTTTTTGAACCCCAGAACTTTAATTTTTTTCTCTGAAAAAAAGAAAACACAAAAAATAAATTGCACAGTTTATTGCCCGGCATTTTCTTTGTATTTTTCCCCTCAGGGGCATACATGTAGCAATTTCATAAAAAAGCAATAAGTGAAAACCTTTATAACTGAAG